AAAACCATTGAAACTTTGAACGGCCATATCTCCGTAACGGCGCGGCGAATCCGCACCAAATTCGCGGGATCTCTTCAGCTCAAGGAACCGTCTCGAACGTGAATCGAGTGTATGTCTCGAGGCCCTCTTTCGAATGAGACCACCCCCGCGGGGATAGCCCCCGGGGTTCACACACACACATACACACACACACACACACACACACACATATATACACATACATACACACACACACCTATATATATATATATATATATATATATATATACACACATACACATACATACACACACATATATACATACATACACACATACACTAGGGGTGTAATGGTACATGTATTCGTCCCGACCCATCACGGTAATACAGTCAGTCATAGATAATCAATCCAGAGCGGGCTGAGCGGTAATGCAACAACAGGAAAAAGCAGAAGAAGAGACAATCTACGCACCAATCCAAAACAAGAACGGCGAGTTCAGATGACATACACAAGCTCAAAGAACCGCCTGCTAGTTTTAAATCAGCAGTGTGGGAAAGTTTCGGGTTCTAGAGATGTTGCATTGCAATCATTTCCTAAAATGTCATTTGTATAGAATTTTTATGAAGTCTGTAAAGAGGACAAAATATTGTACCAGGCAGATCAAGCTCACTGTTCCCGATGCTCGAAATATATGAAGACAAATATGTGGGAATTTATATGAATATATATCTGAGGGGAACTGACTGTCTTCAGAAATGTTTAGATTCCGTTTTCTTTTCCTCTTACCTCCATATAATGCATATTAGCGTTTAGAAGCGCAGCTGCTTTGTTAACAGCGATAACCAAGGAAATGCTGTATTGCTGTTCCATTAAGCGCCACCTGCTGTCAGAGAACGAATTTGCATTTTCATTCAGTTTGTCTGCTGTTTTTGTTTTGTGCAGGTGTCTAAAGTAGCATAATTTCACAAATCTAAAGTTTTTGCTTTAAATTCTGAAATTATACAAATCTAATTCAAATCATGAACGGTCAAAAAAAAAAGAAAAAGTTTTATTTAAAAAAAAAAAAAAAAAAAAAAAACACCAAAAAAAAAAAAAAAAAAAAATTTCCTGTTGTCCTGAACTTGCATCGAACCGTGATCCCAAAACCGAGGTACGAGACAGAACCGTGACTTCTGTGTACTGTTACACCCCTAATATATATATATATAATATAATGATATAAATATAATTAAAAAATATATTCATAATTATAACAGGGTTTCTGCAGACATGAACAAGTAAAATTTAAGACTTAAGACCTTTTTAATACCACCTTATATGAAATTTAAGACCTAAACCTGTAATGGAAATACACATTTTATTACATACATATATGTAATATTTAATGTGTATAAATTAAAAAGAAAACAAAATATCATTGCTGTAATAAATGGTATTTATAACTATGATATACAGCAACATTTTAATGTCAGCAGACAATATTCCATACAAAATATCCCCGCAAAATAACTGCATCACTGAGATTTTTGGTGGAGTAAACAATTTATTCTGAAGCAATATTTTCATCAGTGTTCTATCAGCTTTTACATACTTAAATCTGCATATTTACCTTTACAAAGGCCTATTTTTAACCTTTTTAGATGTATGCATCATCTTACATGTCAAATAATTACAATTTATCAATAAATTAATTATACACTATAGGGCTGCTACCAGTCAGATTAAATAATTTACACTGCAAATAACAATAATTACAACTGCAATAAATAATGTTATGAGATGAATGTTTTAAATGCATTTATGAGTATACAAATAAGAAATGTTGAGGGGAAAAATGCATACTTTTCAACATACTTCTTAACTAAACTATCAGTAAGTGGCGGTAAGACACTTGATGAGTGAGTCATTCATTCAGCTGATTAAGTGTTTTATCATGCTGGTATCTTAAGGACTTTTGATATTCTTCATATTCTGTGTGGTGTTATAATAGAAATTAATCTTTTCCAATAAGTTTAAACTGATTTTTTCCTTTTATGGGCATTTTACCTTTATAAAGCCATTTTTCTATAAGTGTGCATCATCTTTTGAGTCAAATTCTTACATTTAATCAGTAAATAAGAATAAGACATTTGGGCTGTTACCAAGCAAATGAAATCAGTATCAACAAAATTCATCTCTGCAATCCAGACATAAGCTGCACCTGAAGTGGCATTTAGATGTGTTTACACACAGTTTAATGCAGGACATGAATGCATTTAACCTGCAGTT